ATTCCCTGACCCACCTGCCTCCACCTACCTCCAGCATCTGAGCACCTTAACGTTGTCCCTCCCAGTCCACCTGCCCCCTTTCCCAGCCTGGGCCACCAGATCCCTAATGGTCTCACTCCCCAATCTTTTAAGCCTTCCAGCCTAAACCCTCACCCCCCCTTATGCCAGCTTTGTTCCTTTTCAGGGTACAAATCCAGGGACTTATGCCTCATCCTCAGTTACCAAACTCTTTACCCCCTCCTCAACCCATCCCTGAGTCCTGGCCCCCTTTTAAGGCATGAGTGTGGGCTCGAATCCTCTTCCCCAACCCATCTGTCCCCCTACCACATGGAAGCCTTAGGCCCCCCATACCCCAATTCATAAGAGGCCCCTAACCCATCTCAGCCTGGGCCCCAGCAAAACCCTGTCTCCAGGAGTAAAGATAATCCAACTCTCCTTGTCCCAACCCTCTCTGATCCTGTGAACCCCGAGAATGGATGTGACCCTCAAATGACCCCCAACCTACCCCAGGTATATGTGGCTCAGACCCCTCCTTCCATAACCCTCTGGTCCTTCCCCAGCCTATCCCAGGCTCTTCCACCAGGCATAAGTGTACCCCCCCCATCCCTCATCCCAGCCCCTGCTCACTCCCTGACCTTCCTGATACCCTCCTCAGCCAACCCACCCTGGCCTGGATTTCCTTGACCAAACCCAGGCCCAGCCCTGTCTCCAACATAGCCCAGGTACCTGAGGCCTGAATGTGGACCCCCCCCAAACTCCCAAATGGGGTCCTATGATTCCCAGTACCCTGAAACCAGCCTGGCCCTCCCCAGGTGCGCTTATGCCTTGCATCTTTGGGTTCTCCTAGCCAGCACCCCCCACCCTTGGAGAGAGAAGATACTTTGGGGGGGCCCTTAATGCAGAAGCCAGCCCCTGGGCCCCCTGCTACACTGGGCAGAGTATGTTTGTTGGGGCATGATAGGGTTTGTAGCAGTGGTGAGAGGCTACTTTGGAGCCAGGAGGCGTGGGTTCAAGCCTCACCTGTGACAAGCTGGCCGGGTGTGGGACTGTCTTCTGGGCACGCCATTTCTCAGTACCTGGAGCAGCTAAGGCCACCGAGCCACTCTATTGTACAGATGAGTGGCCAGCGTGCATCAGTAGAGGGAGTGTCCACACTGGATGAAAGATGTTAATCCACATCCATGTTGGTGCCCAGACAGACCATCAGATACATGCACAGGAATGAGCCAGGCTCTCATGCACATGGGCACAATCCCACACATGTAGAATTATACATGGATGCCCGCGCACACCTGTTAGGAGGAGTCCTGTTCTTTGGCCCTTGGAGGCAGGGCTGTCCACCCTCCCTTTCTTCCCTTTGGGTGGGCTTCCCACTTACTTGGCACCTGAAGGATTCTCACAACAACCCTGTGGGCAAGGGCTGTCATTATCCCAGCTGTATAAATAGGGGAACTGAGGCAGACAGATAAAGTGACTCACCCAAGGTCACACAGTAAGTGGAAAAAGGAGGGATGTGACCCCTGGCCTCATGTAGAACCAGTGAGTTCTCTTTCCCCTGTGAAGAGAGGGCACTCCCTGGGAGCAGTGGTCCGGGCTGGAGAGCAGAGTGGGCAGCATTGTTGGGGGCTGGACTGAGCCCCCTGCGAGTAGGAGAGAGCCCAGTATACAAGGATAGGGAGGAGGGAGGAACTCTGGGGGCAACTATGGAGAGCCACGAATGCCAAGCTGATAAAACTTGGGTTTGGGCATGCAGATAAGGAAGGAGCTGTCCTAGGTCACTAGTACCCTGCCCGCAGCTACTCCACTAGGGAAACTGCCTCTCTGAGCCATGGAAGGCCAATGATGGGCCCCTCTGGACTGCATTTTCCAAGGGTGAAGAGAGTTTCAGGGGCAGCTGGGTGGTGCAGTGGGTAGAGCACCAAGCCTGGAGTCAGGAAGACTCATCTTCCTGCATTCAAATCCGGCCTCATACACATACTAGCTGTGTGACCTTGGGCAAGTCACTTAAATTACTGTTTGCCTCAATTTCCTCGGCTGTAAGGAGAAAATAATAGCACCTAACTTGCAGGGCTGTTATGAGGATTAAATGAAATAATATTTTTCAAGTGCCTGGCACATAGTAGAGCTTAATAAATGCTAATTCCTTTCCCCACCCCCAGGCCATCTCCTTGCCTCTATCCTCTGAGGCACTTTGTAGTGCATCACTTCACATCCTGCCTCTGAATGCTTCCTGTCTGAACCCTGAGCGCCTGATTCTGCCCCATCCTTCCTTATTCTCCCTGCTATGTGGGGTCCTCCCCATGCATGACTCAGGGCATCTCTCCCACCTGCCTCCTCTCTCTCTCCTGTAGCTAAACTGGAGGGGTACCCAGTAGGGCTCAGAATGCCTGAGCAGGGGGACCTTGGAGAGCTCCTGGGTCAGCTGTCTCCTTCCTCCCTCTCTGTTTCTCTCTCCCTCTCTGTCTCTCTCAGTCTCTGTCTCTCTCCCTCCCTCTGTGTGTGTGTCTCTCTGTGTCTTTCTCATTCTCTCTGTCTCTGTCTCTTTCTCTGTGTTTCTCTGTCACTCTCTGTCTCTCTGTCTCTCTATGTCTCTGTCTCTCTGTCCCTCTGTCTCTCTGTCTCTCTCTCTCTCTGTCTCTCTCTCTGTCTCTCTCTCTGTCTCTCTCTCCCCAGTGGGTTAAGAGATTTGCCCAATGTTGCACAGCTAGTAAGTACCTGAGTCCATATTTGAACTCAGGTCCTCCTGACTCCAGGGCCGGTGCTCTCGCCATCTTAGTTCATCGGCCAGCCTTCTATGGTGGCTGAGGAATGGGGGCACAGAGACCACAGAGAGACCCTGGTGGCCATCTGAGGAGCCCACGTTCTCTTGAGGCAGACAGCGTATACACACGTGAGCTGCACAGAGAGCGTATACCAAAAAAAGGGATCCCACAGTTGGTCAGTTGCA